TGGTCCACTTCGTATTGGGTTGTGAAGATGCTGACAGGACTGATCGACTGACGAACGGATGTCAGGATAGGGGACTTCGCGGTTGCATCCGGAGCCAGAGTGAAGTCCAAGGCTGCTTTTTTTAGCAGACGGGGTGGGACGGCTCCCCCTGACAGGACTGTTTCTACCGCTGTTGTTTTCTGTCTATTTTTCTTCCATGCCAGGTAGGAGGCATGACTTTTTTTGTTTGTGACTGCGGGTGCGAGTTAGTGGCAAGGACCAGACCCCTAGTCCGACGAGCTCCAGCCGGGCTACCACCATGCCTGTCCCGCCACGACCTCCGCCCGGAACACGCAGTAACATAACAAATGGCGCCCAACGTTTGACTTCAGCACATACTAGCTCTTTCACATGTTCATGCTACCTTCATTTCGTTATTTCTTTCCAATACTGTAGCTTTCTCATAGCCTTGTCGTTAATAATTTAAAATTTTTGCTGATTTCCTTCTAATCCGGACTGTTTAGGAGTTCAGCCGCCAGCTTTGCTTAGGCTCAGGCCGATAGTAAGTGTGGGGTTGAACTAGATTGGCGGGGTACGAAACTGCGATCAGAAAGTGCCTTTGTTAAGTCCCGGGGATTTAGTAAAGTGACTTTCGGTGACAGACCGTAACAAGTCTTATCATTTTCTTTGATTTGCTGGAAGAGACTAGCACCACCAGAAGATGAGTTTCGCACTTGCCGGATGTGAGGCAGCTGGTTCTTTCCAGTGGGACTAAGGGCTGTTAACAAGCATTGCTTCCAGATGCGTCGGCTCAGGTTTTCGCTCTGTAGTGGCAAGCTGAAAATAAAAGGGGTATTTAGTGACATTGACATTGGACTGTGACGAGCATACTTACGATACTTTAAGTGAACATTCATGCAATCCGCCAGTCGAGGACAACACCATCTATGCACCAACCATCCACACCAAATACACATACCTTAGAAATTCCTATTAATTTATTTTGCATGCATACATATCGTTCCTTCTCTGATAAGTGAAGTATTGTTATTGCTAAGGATATAGATAGTTAGTTTAATAATGCAATTCCCCGTTTAGTACATGTAAACGTCGAATTTCGGAAAGTTTCGAAGTCAGTTTTTTTATTATTATTTGTAAATCATATATAGCAGATATTATTAGCCTTTTTACTACCCTTTTTTCTCTATGCTAGTAAATTAAGCCGAATGAAGTGGCGAAACTGGTATAAGTCGTAATCGATCAGATATATGTATATTTTTATTTTTTTATTTTTTAACACCCGTTTGGTTATTAACTAAATCACGGAACGTGAAGTTTATATACCTACACTGTACTGAATTTACATTTTTCATATTAGCGAAATTGGTTTGAATTATTTTTGAAAAGTATTAAGAGGCGGGAGTTATTTTTACGTGTCAGAAAGTTTTTTTTGCTGGGTTTCCAGGGTTAATGGAGATATCTGAAGAAACTGAAGAACCAAAAAGAACAAGGTTAGGTATTCTCCCCAATAATAGACCTTTTACGCGAAGTGTTGCGAGGTCACTAGAAAACCAAGTAGTGGGTTCCCTGCTGACGCAAATAGATACTGGGGTCGAATATCCAATAGACTTCGTGCCAGTGGACTATTTCAACCGCTGCACAGCTCGAATTTTTGGGCGACAAATACAAAAGGATTCTGATCCTCCCTGCAACCAAAAAAAAGGTCGAAGACATCACCGAATCCCTTAGTTTTTCTCGGAAACTGGACCGCATTCTGGAGATGTCAGAACCGTCGGCTCAGGAGAAAATGTTAGAGGGAGCGGTAGGAGGAGTCAGCCGGAGGTGGCGAACCACCAACCTCGCCACCAGCAAACAGAATCGACCAAATCAGCCAGATGATGGCGGTGTTAGTGCAACAGAACGCGGCAATGGCTGATTGTATGAATGAGGTCAGGAAAATCCGGACTGATGAGTCGCAGCTCAGCAACCGCGTTGGTGATGTGGAGGCTTCGATGCAGGCTCCAGCAGCACCACCACCAGCAGTTACGACCTCAACACCGGACCCAGCGAACTGGCGAGGAAATAGAGGACAACCGAACGATAGTAGGGAATGTCGGTGGAAAGTTTCGTCTTCCGCTTGGAACGAATGCGGGTACAGTATCACCTCTCCTATGATCAGCTTTTTTCCGAGTTCCACTGCTTGGTCACAGGATTCGATTACTTCGAATTAAAAGCAGAACTATTAGCGCAGTACCAATCGGCCGAGTCAGATTACGAGGTGATACGCGAGATCATGGAGCGAAAACAGCACGCACACGAAAGCTTTGAGGACTTCTATGCAGATATACATGATCTCACATTTCGCCTTCGAAAAAAGATCCCAGAAGACGAGTTGGTAAAGATCGTACGGGGAAACCTCAAACCATACTTGGCTAATCTTACTTTCGCCACTAAGATTGGATCGATGTCTGAACTGAAGGACGAATATTAGAGAGCTGAAGAACTTATTAAGGAAAACAGGTCGAGACGAGAGTCAGGACGGTAAATGAGATAGAAAGTTGTGACAGGGCATATCCGGAAGAATGGAAAAACGACAGGGAAATAGAAGTTAATGCTTTAGGTAAGGAAGGCCGAAACCACTTCGGGGGAAGTAGTAACTCGCTTAATACTACCTCTGCTCGTGACATGTCTCCTCCTCCAATGTAAGTAATTCTTCCACCGTTCATAGTAATGTCAGTAATGATCCCAAGCAAGTTTTCTGTGCATCCCCGTTCCACCTCATGATGTGTTTTGCTTGCGGAATGCCGGTTGATTACTACCTCAAAAACCCGGCTGAAGCAGCAAAACACAGTGCGTGTAAGTCCCCATTCCATTTGATGACATGTTTTTTGTGTGGTGGAGACTCGTCCTTTTGTGTGTATAAAGCCGAGGCGGGAAACCGGGCACTGACAGAGATGGCCGGGCACTCTGTCCAGAGCAGAAGTCACCCGGCAGAGTAGAAGGCGCGAATAAGAGTGAGATTAAGATGCTAAGGCGCGAAGACAATACTGAATTAAAGAGTATAGATGATAAGAAACGCAATAATAGATGTGTAGAACATAGTTTACATTTACGCAGAATTAATTATGAAGAGGTGATAAGGAGAATTTTCATGGAAGCGCTAGATGAAAAAGGTAAAACAAGAAATTTCAAAAAGATAAAGAAAATGCGCGAAAAACAAAAACAACTCAGAAGAATACAAAGAAAAATAATAGCAACCATTGTCACTGTGAAACGTGATAACCGCTTCTTCGCACAAGCAAGCATTGGGAGCCAAGGAGGTGTATTTAGGTGTAGATTTTTGGCGTGTGTTTGATATGAATGTAGTAAGCAGAGGTGTGAATGAGAACATTAAAAACAAGGCGGTTTCAGAGCTCGTAGCCAAAAAAGGTGATCTCTCTTTTGAGGCAGTGCAGCATGTGCTCTCGGAAGATCAAAATAGGCGGCTTGAAAGAGTTAAGGCGCAGTTCCCGTCCTTCGCCGTTCTGGGCTTAGGTCGCACCGATATTGAAGAGCACCTAATTGAAGTTGTGAACGAAAGTATGCCCGTAAAACAAAGACCCTACCCTATTTCACTTGCTATTCAGAAGTTAGTATTTGCGGAGCTGGATAGGATGCTAGAGATGGGGGTCATAGAGGAGAGCAACAGCAGCTGGAGCTCTCCCGTCTCTCTAGTAATTAAGGGAACCAAGAATAGGCTGTGCTTAGATGCGCGAAAAGTAAATGAACGTACGATTAAAAACGCGTACCCACTTCCCCACATAGACGGCATACTTAGCCGACTACAGAACACGCGTTTCATCTCAGCAATTGACCTTAAGGATGCCTTCTGGCAGATTCCGCTAGTACAGAAATCCAGAGAGAAAACAGCCTTTACGGTACCTGGTAGGCCCCTATACCAATTCACTGTGATGCCCTTTGGCCTCTGCAATGCTGCCCAGCGAATGTGTCGTCTTATGGACAAAGTTATACCAGCGGCCTTACGTGAATTTGTTTTTGTGTATCTTGACGATCTGTTAGTGTGTTCTGTAGATTTTGATTCGCATATGTCCCTATTGGAAAAGGTCGCTAAGTGCTTGCGTGATGCGAAGCTGTCGATCAACGTTGAAAAAAGTAAAGTCTGCTATCGTGAGGTACGTTACCTGGGTTATGTTGTGGGAGATGGATGCATTCGAACGAATGCTAACAAAGTCGCAGCCGTACGAGATTTCCCTCTTCCAAAGAGCCCTAAGCAACTCCGACGGTTCCTGGGCATGTCAGGATGGTATCGCAGATTCATCCAAAACTACGCGAATATCGCTGCGCCGCTACATGACTGCCTGTCCAAGGACAAAATAAACAAATTTCACATGACCGATGAGGCCATCAGGGCGTTTGAGGCACTGAAACAAAGCCTTATATCCGCCCCAGTACTCGTACATCCGGACTTCTATAGACGATTTTACATACAATGTGATGCATCGACTGACGGGGTGGGAGGAGTACTCTTCCAACTGGACGGGGAAGAAAGACCGATAGCGTACATGTCAGCGAAATTGAATAAGGCACAAAGAAACTATAGCGTGCCCGAGCTAGAATGCTACGCCGCCGTGCTAAGTGTCAAACGTTTCCGACCCTATGTGGAAGGTCTACCATTCACCATAATCACGGATCACGCTAGCCTCAAATGGCTAACGCAACAAAAGGACCGTCGGAGCTGCGTATGGGGCTGGTGGAAACTGCTCATAGTTCGCCATGAGCTGGACACGGGGAAATCCACAAAACGTTAGCTAGGATCCGCGAAAAGTATTACTGGCCCGTGCAAGGTTAATAAGACCCAAAACAATTTCAAAAGGCCACCAATGGGTAAACAACAAGTCACTGAGCGACCTTTCCAACGTGTATATGTCGATTTTATGGGACCATATCCGCGCACCAAGGATGGAAATGTGTTTGTGTTCGTTTGTCTTGACCATTTTTCCAAATTTGTCTTTCTTAAACCCATGCGACAGGCCACGGCCGATAACGTAGTCAAGTTCCTTGAAAGGGAGGTGTTTCATGTTTTCGGGATCCCGGAATATCTACATTCAGACAATGGGAAGCGATTCGTTGCCAACATGTTCGAGGCTTTCTTAGAGAATTACGGAGTTAAGCATATAAAGACAGCATTCTATTCACCTCAAACTAATGCTGCCGAGCGCGTGAATAGGTCTGTTCTTCAAATGCTAAGATCTTATATAGGCAGTAGTCAAAGAAATTGGGACCAGCACTTGAGTGACGCGGCATTTGCTTTGAGAATTGTGACACATTCAGCGATAGGTGTATCTCCATACTACGCAGTGTTCGGAATACCGATGGTGCAACACGGCGCGGCGTATGACGTGCTTAAAAAATTAGGTTCCATCAAGGACACTGACTGCGCTGTAGAATTGGGTCTAGAAAAGCATCAAACGATTAGGGATAAGATATTCAGCGAACTAAAACGAGCACATAGCATAAGCGAAAAGGTTTACAATACTAGGACGAAAAATATTGAATTTAAAATCGGCCAGTTAGTGTACCGCCGCAATTTTAGACAGAGCTCGCTGATGGACCATTATAATGCCAAACTTGCGCCGAAGAATGTTCAGTGCGTCATATTACGAAAAGTTGACACAGCGCTTTATGAACTAGGCGACACCTCTGGTAAGAAGTTAGGCGTGTACCATGCGAAAGACATGTTTGTAGCATAGACACTCAGCAGGTCGGATCCAGGTGTAAGTGTATGTTTTGTCTTGTCTGTATTTGTGATAGTGGTTTCTGTCCGATAAGAATGTGTAGAAAGTGTACGTCTTATGTGTACAAAAAAAGATAACTATACTTGACAATACTCAAATTGACACAACTTAAGTTCGCAGATTCATGTACTTATACACCCCTTCTACCGTGTCTTGTCCCCTTTACAAACCTTACCCAGTGATAGGCTAAGTTTTTACCAGGTAAATTAGATGATTTTTAAGTAGGGAGAGTGAAGAAGATGACAACAGGCTAAGGAATAGGGCCCAGCAACAGGTCATGGGTCGAAGCCACACATAGGGCGCTAGAGAGGAATATGGTCAGGCTGCGTTATGAACTCTTGTGCGCACTCGTTCCATAGCGTAGGCACCATCGACGGTTGCGAGCGTGTAACGAACAGCCTGCTGTTAATTAGGCGCATGTGTGTGTGTATGTATGTGGGTGGAGTGTGTGAGTATGGACGATCTGTTTCTGTTAACAACAGAGTGAATTTATACATGTATATGTGGAATGTTAGCTTGAGGGTGGGGAAAGTAAGAGGTGCAACTTTAAAGCGGTAAGATCACCGTTTGCGGACCGAATTGCATCTACCAGGGTAAACGGAATCATCAGATGCTATAAATTGGGGAAAGAAGAAGCTGCGAGACACAGTTGAGTGAATGCTGAAGATTGTTAAAGTTATCAGCGCGCCGCGGAAAAGTTTTAGCTTAAAAAAAAAAAAAATTACGTGTAAACAGAATAAACGTAGTTGTTTTGGTCTGAAGCGAATCGCAAAGTGTTCAAGTTTGGATCAGGAGCAGTTCGACGGCGAGAACAATCCCGCATCACCAGCTAATTTCAGCAGACATCAGCCCACAAAAATTTGGAGGGATTCCGCCAACCCAAGGTATGAAGTTCATTGAGAGTTCATATGAATCAAAAGTAATTACCCTGGCGCCATAAACAGGTTAAGTAATAAACCAGCCTTCTCGCTTTGACTACTTCACCTGGTATTGTTCCACCATGTTTAATTACAGTGAATTAATACTAAAGTAAACGTAAAAAAAAAAAAATAATAATAATAATAATAATAACAAGTAAGAAAGTCTAAGTTCGGGCAGAGCCGAACATTAAATACCCGGCGCAGGTACTAAGTATATGATTTTCACCTTTGCGAAAGCTACCACTGCATGGTAAGCCGGTGTGTATCAATTTTGAGTAAATTAGCGTCCTTAAATTTCGAAATATTGAAGATTCGAGCATTTCTGAAATTTGCCGTTATATGAAAAGTGGTCGTAATTTGAATCTGATTCCAATAATTTTCAACGTTTTGCTTCTATGTGGCAAGCACAATAACCATACTGAGTTTGGTACAAATTGGTAGAACTGTTACCGAGATACATGTATGTGATCATAAGTGGGCGGTGCCACGCCCATTTTCCAAAATTTTATCATAAACGTATTTATTGGTAAAAATTGTTGCAAGCATCAATTTTGAGTAAATTATCTTTAATATTTATTGATTTATCGAAGATTTCGTATTTCTCCAAATTACCGTTATATGGGAGGTAGGCGTGGTTATTGTTCGATTTTAAAAATTTTCGGCCATTTGGTATGCTGTAGCAAGGCTAACAACTGTGCCAAGTTTGGAAAAAATTGGTGCAGCGGTTACCAAGATATGCACATGTATCCATAAGTGGGCGTGGCTATGCCCATTTTCCAAAAATGTATAATATTCTTATTTTTTGTCTAAAAATTATTGCAAATATCAATTTTGAGTGAATAATCTTCAGTAGTTACTAAAATATCGCAGTTTTCGTATTTTTAAAAATTAGCGTTATATGGGAGGTAGGCGTGGTTATTGTCCGATTTCGCCCATTTTCAATACCATCCGTCCTACGCCCGAAAGAAGTGCACATACCAAGTTTCGTTAAGATATCTCAATTTTTACTCGAGTTATCGTGTGCACAGACGGACGGACGGACGGACAGACAGTCACCGCTTAATCGATTTCTCTTTTCATTCTGATCATTTATGTATACATTTGTCTATATCTATCTCGATTCGTTTTGCCTGTTACAAACAACCGTTATGTGTACACAGTGTTATTACCCTTGTGCACAAGTGCGCTCGGGTATAAAAATCCAAAATTGCGTTTGTACATCTGCAGATACGTGAGCGTATGCCCTGCAGTAAAATTTAGAGACATTCTCTTAAACCGCTAGTTCCGTCCTACACATTTCAGAACCATCTCTGAACTAGTGCAAAACGGCTGCAGAGAGGGACAATTGAAACTCTCGGTGTGTAAATGCACAAATTCTCACTTCTCGTACAATACGAAAATAGCTCAGCGGGAAGACCTCCGCCTCTAATATCGTTGGTAACGAGCTCAAATTGCGGTGGAGGCAGTTGTGATTTTCAGATTTAAAAAACATAAATTGAGTGCCGCTTAATATAAACAAAATAAATAAAAATTTAATAGAAGGCAATCTGTAAAAGAACAGAAAAAAACGAGATAATATCGAAAAATCGAATAATCAGAATTTTTTTTGAATAAAAAACTTATTGTCGCAGATCTGTCTAAAATGGAACCAGTTTAGAATAGAAAAATAATCTAATAATCGATTTTTAAAATTTTTTCTCATAGAAAAACTTACTGTCCCAGAACTGTCCAAAATGGAACCAGTTTAGAACTAGTTCGAAAGTTCTGCAGAGGAGGGCAATTTCCACTTCGTAGGACATCGCCATGTAAAAAGAGACAGTTGAAAGCATTGCGTTGGGATAGATCGAGAACCAGTACCGCCTCTTAAAGAGCTAGTTCTGCGCTAGTCCTGAACTAGCGCGATTTACTGCAGGGTGTATATGCAGAAATATCTGCATATATGTATGTATATGTACATATGTGCGTGTACACAAATGTAAACCACGAATAACATTAGACACCACTGTTCGCTTACAGGCGCTGTTCGCTTACATGGGCTGTTGGCGGAGAAACCAAAAAGGTTCCGCGGCGCAACTAACACCAGGCACTGCTAACACCGAAGATTTCCAGAGCTAAGAAAGGAACGAGAAGGGGCCGTGCTGAATAAGTTGAGCTCAGCAGCGACAGGAGCCGCTGAGAGCCATTGGAAACGAGGGAATAACCCGCGTTTGCCTACTCGCTACTTAGCTAACGTACTCACCTGCCAGCCAACTCGCGTTCCGCGCACTAAGCGTGTTTCTAATGCGCGTTAAATTTAAGTCCATTAGTATTATAATTTAATTTTTTTATTATATTTTTTTTTTGCTTTGGTTACGACCCGTCAAAATTGCATAAAAGCCACTTTTAAATTTCGCATACGTATGTATGCATATAAATTTGAACATATTATTTTACTTTTCTTTTTGAATTTATGAATTTGTAGAATTTTTATTTAATCGGCGCACCTACACGCCATAAATTTTGCACATGAATTTCTTTCTTTTCTTTTTTATGAATTTATTTTTTTCGGTGTAAACACAAACACTTTATTTGAATTGTACACTTTCCGCACTAGTTTTCGCGTTTATTTTGTCTAACACAATTAGTTTTAATATATTTCTTTATTTGGAGTACGGCAACGCGTGTTATTTCGATTGAAGTTTCACCGGAACTAAGTCGCTACAAGATTTAACGAGATCAATTGGAAGGAAGATCGCACTCCCCACTTCCAACTTTTATATGACGTGCATATGTATATGTAGGACTTTTTCTCTCACCCTATTAATTTTCAGCTTCCTTCTCCGCATGTTGGTACCAACACGGGTGGAAAAGCAAGGTGAGTGTACATAAACATATACATATATTAACACGTATATACATATATTATTTTGTTTTTATGAGCTCCTTCGTGGAGTAACTTTTAATAAAGCGAAATATAGCATAGTTGCAGATTCTTTATTAGGGTAGTCAAGTCGGGTTCGCCTTTAATTCTTTTTGTTATAGTAGAGTTGGATTAAAAGAAAAGAGGGGGGGGGGGGGATATTATAGTACCGATATATGTACATATAGGGATATACAATTAAGAATATAAATTAGATTTTGTTAGTAAGGTTAAGAAAAGAAAAATAAATAAAACTCAGGAAATATATTTATGATGCAATTGGTGTTCGATTACTTTTATGAACCATCTTGAAGTAGGGAAGGAACAGGACAGGACTGTTTCTACCGCTGTTGTTTTCTGTCTATTTTTCTTCCATGCCAGGTAGGAGGCATGCCTTTTTTTGTTTGTGACTGCGGGAGCGAGTTAGTGGCAAGAGCCAGACCCCTAGGCCGACGACCACCGCCCGGAACACGCAGTAACATAACAATCATTATCCCCCTCTCATCTTGAGCGACACGTTAACAAAAGAAAAATGTGGAGCGTCCAGTAGGGTATGAGGATGATGGTTCGAATGCGATTCACGGGCTTTGGTTTGATCGACGTTAGACCTTACATCGAAATCGTTCTACATGATCTTCATCAACCCCATCCTGACTCGTTCAGTTCGCCTTTAAGCGCATATGTATGTACAAATGTTCCGTCTTTCGTATTTAGTTTCAGTACGCATTACATAAGCTACGGTAGATGAAAGGCATTGGTAAGTGATTTGGTTATGAATCTTTTTTTGTTTGCTTTGATCGATTTACTAGCAATGTACTGAGGATATAATATAACAAAACTATGGATATAATAAATTTAAACTTAATTAATTTATTCCAGCCGGGTACCCTGTAATAAGGCAGAATCAATGGAGTATGGAGGCCCGCCATATATTCATCGAAATTCTTGAGAAGGCGAATGCACTGAATGAGTTAACGTGTTGTGATTAAATCGGCGGAATAATTGCCAAGCACTCGGTGTTTAGCATCGATCAGTTCATATGAATTCGAACCAAGTTTCCGTGAAACATAGGCTCTAATAGCCCTCTCCGGCCACGGACTGTTTAGGATTGGGAATGTACACTTCCGAGCCTATCT